TCCCTAATACATTTATCAGATACAATTACAGATAATGTTTCATATTGTAAGTTTTTGTGTAATTTTAATTTGGTTCAATTTTAGTGTGTGACACATACATTTCATAATACTTAACTCAATGAATTTGGACTTTGTTGAATAGCTTTTCTTTGTTAATTTTCGGTTGTTTTCAAAGTAATTGACATTTAAAAAAAAATGTGCTACAGTTGATAGGTAAATTGTTCTTGTAGTAAAATTATTTTTTAATTTTTAGTTCACTTTTTAACTATTTTTTAGAAAAGCGTGTTTTTAAAAAAGTTATTTTAAATTAAATTTTTACTTTTTAGTCCTATTAAAGGTACTTAATAATTGTGAATAGATTACTAAATTAATTTTGCAAGATACCCGTGCAAAACGTATGCACGTGTTAGCGAGTTAAAGAAAAGCATGTAATAATAAAATACACAAAAGAGAATTGTCATAATTTAAAAACCATTACAGTGCAGAATTTTTACGTGTAAACAAATGTTTTATTTGTTTAAAACGGACATAATATGTTAAATGATATCTTTGTTATATTTGAGGAGAGGGGCGTGGTGATCGCTGCCTTCCCATTGAGCTGAGTTTTTTTAAATATTTGTAATGCATATATTTAAATAATTATGCTTAAAAGTTAATATTGTGTTTTACTTTAATAGAACACGCGCTTGATGAGTAAACATCAATTAATGAAAAAATATAATTGAAAGTGATTAATTAACCCTGGTTATGACGTATAACAAGTATAAGAAATGTTTAAAACTCACCCTCTTCCTTTGGTCGGTTTTTGGATACAATAACGAATGATATATTACGCTCTTAGAGTTAAAAACCAAGACATAACCTTTATAATATTATGCTTTTTCTTTACATACACCTTGGACTTTAAGCGTTATAATTTTTCCAATTTATATTATAATGGCTTAAAAATATAAGACTATAAAAAAAAAATTAACAAATATTATTTAAGCTGCCTAAATTTAACTGCAATATAAAATATGTTTTTATAAACTTATTAAAGCCTTAAAAAACTATTAGTGATAAAAAATGTCGCCTAAAGAGATGATTTAAATATATATGAAACAAAATTAAATTATGAAATGTTTTAACCACGTATTCAACGGTGGGCAGTTGTTTAAAGATATAATAAAATTAGAAGCAGTAAATTATTGTTATTCATTTATCTTGATTTAAACCCGTAGTTAGGAGAATGTAGAAACGCTAAAAAATAGTTTTTAAAGTCTCAAGGCCCATTTATTTAATTTGTTTATTATAACAAGAATGACATTTTTTAAATTGTTTTACTGCTTAAAAACAAGCTTTGAATAACTACTTAACAATTTTAAATGAATTCAAACTGCGTTAAAGCGGAAGTGTTGCGGTTAAACGCACGCAGATAATAATATTTCACTGTACTTTTTTCTTACCCAAAAAAAATGATTATCCCTTATAAGATTTTATATGTATATTACCACCCTTTAAACAGTATTAATGCGACCAAAAAATTCGAATTTGCACAAAGACCCTCATGAAAATCTCTTAAATACTTATTTTAGATACAATTAGTAGATATCGCATATGCACAACAATAGTGACACAACTAAAAAAAACATGAATTTCCGGTAGCCTAAAAAATTAAGACTATTCATTGAATAGACACATTATCACATGTCAAGATTCTGGTGATCAAGGTGAAGGCTGAAAGTTGAGCATTATTTAAACTCATTAATTATTCAAAAGCTGATTATTTTTCATACATTATTGGTCTATTTATGGATATTAGCTATTATTAATTAGCACAATATAATTTTGCCATTTCAAAAATCATTTGTTTTTGTAATAAATAAATACATAATTAATTTTCATGAAAAAATATAATTATAAACACTGCTGAAGGTGTTCATAATAATTGTATCTCATAATAATAATAAAAAAAAAATGTTAATCGTTTTAGACCATAACAGTTGAAATAGGTAATCAATTTCAAACAAAATAATTAATTTTTTTTTAATTATAATTACAACTAATGCGGTATGATTTTTTAATTTTATTCAACAGACAGCTGCATTTGGCGGTTAGAAATTTAGGGATCTAGAAATGTCAAAAGAAAAGAGTTAACTTAAGCAGGCTAATACAAAAAAAATGCTTGACGAATATATTCTTGTTCATTCTCGTATTATTTTTTAACGTAAAAATATTTAATTGCAAATGTTTTTGAATTGTTATACGTTATTATTTATGGTAGCATCTTGACATTTTTAGGCTTGACATAAAATATAAGCCACTTAGGCCCCCTTCCTAGCTCCTCTGGGTCATGGTCGGTGTACATTATACACACATAGCTGAAGATGAGCCTCTTTAATGAAAATACTGTGTAATGAGCTGTAAAGTTATTGACGTAGTGAGGTGTAATTGGATTGACGGCGATAAACACATTTAATATCGTTTTAACATGTTTGAAAATGTCAACAACTTTTTAATTTATTTCCAAAATATTTTAAATAATGGTCAAAACTGCTGTGGATTTTTAATTTGCTGTTGAAAAATAAATAATTTAAACCTAGTACGGTAACAGAAATGTATTAATTACAATGCAGGGTAGAATTTTTTTCTTCTAGTAAATCCTATAAAAATTAAAAGTGATTTTACATGGCAGTACAATATAAATTATTGTAATAGTAAATTACTAAATTATATTTTATTTTGTATTTCATTTATATTTGTATTTTGGTACTATACAGATAGAGTTTTCTATATTTAATGGCTACAGACGTCGTCATAGTAGTTTGATACCAAGAGTAGTTATTAAATTAAAGGCTAACGTTCAATCATTTACTCTCTTGTTAAAGCACTTGTATACTTTTTGAAGTACTACGTAGTCGTATGTAATTACATTTTGCATGTATAGCTAAAAATAGTAGGTACCAAGATCTAATAGAAACGAGTTTTAAATTATTATAATACCTTATTTATTTTTTCGTTGATGATGGCTATCTGTCATGTAAATATTTATGTACTTCACCAATCCTGTATGCCTATATAGTAGTCTAAAACTTAAAAAATTACAATGAATCGTAAGCACTTGTATGTAGGTAGGCACGAGCGCAACAGTCATCGTTATAAAATGACAATGCATTGACAAGTGCATTAGTATTGTATAAATCTATTAAAAAAACACTATATAAACTAAAAAAAAAAATAATTAGCGTGGGATTTAATCAAATTATATTTTTGTGTTAACAAAGGATACTTATCTGACTATCGATAGAATAGAGAACATAAGTATGAATACACTTAAAAATAATAAGCTAAATATTAAGTTCGGTATTGAAAAAAAAAATCACAACAATATGAAAGAAAATCTAATTTACCTATTACTTTTTTTTTACAATTGTAAAATATTTGTTATTAATAATACATTTTTTACAATTGTAAAATATTTGTTATTAATAATAAATTATAGCTTCTGAGATCTGTCAATACTTCAATGACAATTCAAATCGTTGAGAAAATTATAGTCAACAAAACGTACACGTGTCTTATAATATGCCTCCGAACAATATAATACGTACTTGAATAATTAATGAATTATTTAAATTTAGTTTGTAGTGGATTCGCTATAATACTTGAATTTTTTCAATAGGACACAGCGAGTAACATAAACTATATTAGAAGGTGGACAATAATGGTACGATTAAGAATAAAAAATAATGCTCACAAACACAATAGTAAACTACAAATTAATTTGTAACAGAGTAAACGTTAGTTGTGCGCTTTATAAAAGTTATCGGGGCACTTATTGGCACTAAATTAGCTAGTTTACAGCTGCTGTGTGGAAAAAAGTAGATAAGTAATCGTATTTCGTGGGGGAAAAAATGGAGGCGAACAAGGTTAGCGAGTTATTTTTAAAAAAAGTTTCTGTTAGTTAAGTAGGTAATGTACTCGCTGTCTTATAAACGATACATAATGTGGAAACTTAATTCTTTAGTAGAACGGTATTATACCCCGTATTTATTTAGAGTTTCGGTATAGGCATTTATTTTTTAAAAATATTAATATTTAAAAAATAATTATATGCATTTATACGTTTTATGAGTACAGCAGCTAGTATTTTTGATTTAGTAGTTAACTTGTTTTATCTGTCTTGACAACGTTTTTCACTATCTAACCTTTAAGTTTCCGGTTTTAGAGCGAAAATATACCTACTATATAATGGAAAAAGGATGACTGTTTTAAGACAATGACGTATCTGTTTTGTAGTTATTCATTATTTGTTTTAATACGAAGCATGGAATTGAGGCATTTACTATATTTTTATAATACAAATTCGCCATTGTCTTTGGAAACTTGGAAGTCGATTTTTTTTATTCACTCGATGATTCGAATGAAACGTAGAAATTGGGTGTAGTTGAGTTTTTGAGCTGTAAAAATGGCAGTGTAATAATTACCTTTTTAAACAATAAGTAGGTATTCACGGAATTAATACATTTTGATAATTTTGACTTAGTTCATCATACAAAATAAAACCTGAAATAGATGCCAATTGCTAGTTAAGGTATTAATAAAATAATAAACAAAAAAACCGGAGATAAAAATTATAAATATTATACATTTTTTGTTTATTAATTTACCTAAAAGTATAAAAAGTAAGAATAACTATTTTTCAAATTGATAAAACTTAAAGGGTTTAATGGTGACACAGATGACACCCCAGTTGCTGTTTATCTTCAGTTCGACCTTTTAAATCACTCGGCAATTAACATAATATATTAACTGTTCACAAACTGAATCAAAACTCGAACCGAACCAACTAAATAAAAACCCATTAAGCCTTTCAATCTCTGGTGTAGAACAAAAAACGCTTAATTATTTTAAAAGAAATTTATCAATATCGCATTTGATGTATTATTTGTCATTTACGTGAAGTCGCATATATTACAATGTTATGCGTTTCTAACTGGAATTTCTATTTTCTATTTCAGATAATGAGATTAAAGGGAACTCAATGCCAAAAATGAAACAAGACGGATTGACGAAAATCGGTTGGTCGTGATTGGTGTCTTATTGTTAGTGGAAATTGACTTTTGTAGTTGCTTCCTTCAAGGCAGGGGATGGGTTCGAGTGGCGGACCTCCTCTGGTTCTTACTTATTCCGGTGTGAAATCTGATAACGACTCCAATACCACTGTGTACAACGAAACCAGTCTACCATACGACTTGCGTTTCAACGATGGTCACATGCTGGCGATAATTACTTACAGCATATTGATGGTGATTTCGGCAATTGGCAACATAACCGTCCTCACTATTATATTGAAACGCAAGCGAAAGGCCGGCACCAGGATACACGCTATGCTTATGCATTTGGCCATCGCCGATCTCATTGTAAGTTACAACATATTTTATTTATAGTATTTAAGTACCTTCCGGGTACGATTTCTGACCTATACCTACCTGACTTGCTACATGAAGAAATCGGCCATAAAATGTCATAGTTGGTAATTATTATAATATTACTTGCAGAACTTTCTACTTTCCTATCGTTTATTTATGTCAGTAAATAAAACATCTTTTGTTTATGAAAGAGGGTTACAAAATAGGGGTGTGACTAGAATTCGGATTTAAGTTTAAACTTAACAAACTATCTAGATGTTCAAATTTTATTTTCTCAACCCAAGAACAAAACCTAACTTACTAAACTTATAGAGGCACGGTTATATTTAAAACTACAATTTTATTACTACATATATTAGTAAAGAAAAACAAATTAAATCCGTAAATCTGGTTAATCCGGATTTTTATCATTAAGACTAACACTTAAGAACGAAATTGTATTTTAAATATTTTACCTTGAATTTAGATTTGTGCTGTACGTTTCAAAAAGTAAATATAGTTAGTATATTACTTAAAGTATAATTTATGAGTACAAAATAATTTTTTTTAAGTTTTTTAAAGGTTCTTTGTACTTTTATAAATAAACGATTCAAATTTTTCGATGTAAAAATGTTCTTAATTAGAACAAAAAAATAAATGATCAGTTTCTTATCTAAAAGTCGCAAAGTTTTTAGTCCCAAGTAAGTATAGTCGGTGACTATACTTACTTCATGAATTATGCAGAGAAAAAATAATTTAAATAGGTAGTACATATTTCATAAGCCTTGGTTGTAGTTATATTTGTACTTTTTGTTTTGCACGTTTCAGGCTTAGTAGTGTTACATTTTCAAAGTGTTATCATTATTGTTTTTGTTTTCAAGTGGCTGACCCCACTTTTATTATACGGGATGAGGTGAAGAGTTATCATTATTGTGTTTTCTGTTGTTTTTACTTAAGAGGACGTCATACAGCTAATTATTTTCCTACGTTAAAACATACCTACGCAGAAAGCGTTTTACTCTCTCTACAATAATTTTAGTGTATACATATCTATAACAAAAAGATACAAGATTTTGGAGACGATGTCGTATTATTTTTTCGATAAACCTAATGTTTAGCTTAATATTTAACATTTAAAATCACATTTTTTTTTTTTAAATAACTTTAATTTTTTTTCTCTTTAGTAGTTAATTCCTTAACAAATAATGTACAAATCAAAGTACTTGGATAAGCTTATTTTTATTAACTGATTAATCATATTATACTAGTCTATTAGGTTTTATATTTTATGATGATAAAGAATCGAACAAGATTTCGTGTATTATTATCTATAAAAAGTTAAAAGTAGTGACAATAGACGAGCAATTCATCGTAATAATTTCTGTCAACCAAATAAAAAATAATGTATAGCTAGGAAAGTAATATATTTCTATTACCCAAAACTGACTTTTAAAAGTCAATAAATCAATGTATATCGTCTAAAATCTTTTGTAAGGTCTGTCCGAAATTCTTGGCTTCCATTTTCAAAAAAACATCTGTTTGGTAATAATTTAAGTACGGATTATTTTTAAAATATATTTATGCTGTGTGGGTCATTTGTTCTCAATATATAACCTTTAAAACGAGGAACTCGTTATAAGTATACTTAAATATTAATTCATCCAAATAAAAATAAATGCTAGAAAGATAAAGCAAATTATACTTCATTAGATACATCTATTAATCATTTAAAATTGTGATTTTAGTTATGGTTTTCTGTTAATGTTATATCATTTAATTCTGTAGTTTGAATTTATTTATTTAAAGGTTTTTAAACTTATCATTAAAAAAAAAAATATTATGATTAATACAGCTTGGCGAGTATTATCAATTTACTAAAAAAAATAACATCACTGTTACCTTTTTTATGTTGATTTTTTTTTTGTCTGGAACCATATTTTCTAAACCACTGAACCAATTTCTTAATGTTGCAACTCAATTGATAAGAAATAGTACTTAAATGTATCTTATTAGGTAAACAAATTAAAAAGCTTACCCATCCTATTTAAAATCGAGAAAAACGCCCAAAAAATGTAGTTACTAAAAACCGGGTTTATAATTTTCAAATAAAACAATTAACGTTTGTTGTAGATAATACCTTATCTTATGAAGTATATAAAATTTGTATGCGGTTTTCGTGTACATTAATAATTTTCTGTCTTTTTTCAGGTAACGTTTTTAATGATGCCATTAGAAATAACATGGGCATGGACAGTGCAATGGGTGTTCGGTGATCCTATGTGTCGTATAATGGCATTCTTCAGAATATTTGGATTGTACCTTTCTAGTTTCATTTTAATTTGCATCAGCGTAGACAGGTAAAAACATAATATACCTATTTTTATCATTTTGTATTTTATAGCTATTAGAAAACGTTATAAAATAAAAATATAGGTATCATTTCTTCATAAACTTAGTTCTTAAATTTTTCTTAACGAATTGCACTTTTTTCAAAGTACAATCTATATACTTACATGCAAGTAATTAATGATACTATTTGTTTGTAAGCCGCATTTATTACCAAGAACATAAAGCAATAATTTTCTCATTATTTATTCGATTTAACTATAATACCTGTATTCGTAAAACTTGAGTATAATTTTCTATAATACATATTTTTCATATTCTTTAAATTAAACTGTCTTATAGGTATATCAGTATTAAAATATACTTTTTACTTGTTTGAAAACATTTATTTGTTAAGTTAGCCTGCCCCTTAAGCTGCTAACAATTATTAAAAGAAAGACTTTTCAAATATGTGTTTTAGGCTCAACATTTGGTTTTCAGTTTAAAACCATAACCCATAAAAAATACGGACACCTCTTTTAGGGAGGCATTTTACTGTAATTGTAAAACTAAAAGTATAATTTATTATTTTACCGTGACTTTTCCAAGAACTAAAAGGTTTAACTTTTTGTTGAGTTGTCCTTCTTTGTTTGGTAATGAATTGCTAGTAAAGCTATGTGAAAAATAAACCGTAACAAGCTGTGCACAAATTTCCAAACCACATGATCGCCTTTTTAAATGAATTTGGTTTTGCTTATTCTCCTGTCAAAAAAGGAAGGTATTTACAAATATTCTGTTTAAATTTTTCCGGTTTGTCATCTCATGCTTAAAATTTGATCTACTTTTTATATATTTCTTTAATAATTAACAATTTTTATGGATTTAAAGTCAGTAATAAAATCGCTGATTTGCAACCGTACTTCTATCATATTATAATTTTTATTAGCCAATACAAAATGTGCAATTATCAAACATTTACTCTTCTCTTAAGTCATATGTTTTCCATTTGTGCAATTGCAAAAATTGGACTAACCTTCCATCATCGTTCGCCGGCTCACATGGTTCGGTTCGCCCTTCAGTATCTTTGTACGTCTTTGCCAGCAAGCTCATTGTTGCTTGTATTCCCGTCTTCGATTAGACCACAATAATTGCCTATCCACTCTTGCTTTGCATTAAAACTAAATGATTTTTCCCACTACACGATGTTTTCATTAAATGTGATTCAACCCACCCCTTCTCGTTTGTTACCGGCCTATCTTTTACACACAACTCAATTATTAATCCAACTTTATACCTATTACCTACTCGACATGACGTACTGTGTTTTATTTTTCTTATAATTTTTGACTTTCTGATCTCACTCTTATTAATACCCTCGATTACTTTTTAGCTTCGATGCGAAACTGAGAAATATAGACTTTTAAAAATTAATACATTAGTCAATTCAATAGTATATTAAGTAATAATTGTAAGAAGAGGTTTTATAGTAGGTATGTGGTGTTACTATCTAATAAAAATCTGAACTTTGTGCAAATTATTTTTTCAGAGTAAACTACGTTTAATTATATCATGCCCAGATTAATTATAAATACAAATAGTACAAAATGTATATTTATTATTTAATTAAAGAAACAGAATATCATAGTCGAGTGCTGGTTTATCTGCTAGGTAATAAATAATTGTAATGTGATAAAATGTACCTTATGTGTAAGTCTTTATTTTAACCTACTATCTCTATGATTGCACCTGAAAATTTTAAACGAAAACACCGCCTCAATGCCCAAGTGCATTATATAATTCCACAGTATTAATATGAGTTCAAGGTTTAAATGTGTTTTTATTTCTATATATTTATTAACTATTTATCTGTTGTAGATATTTGGCCGTACTACAACCTATGCGACTATACCAAATGGATAGCAGAGGAAAATTAATGATCGCAATAGCTTGGTTCGCATCGTTCGTTTGCAGTTTACCTCAGGTAAAATAAATTGAAAATATAACTTTCTCATCTAATTACATTTTGAATTTTAACTATCACACTGTCGAGTTAAGAATAATTTGCTGAAATCTTTGACTGGTCGATAACCAGTTTTGGATAATCACTTTAAAAGCTATTACAATTTTTTATTTAAGACGGGAGGAAAGGTAAAGTGTATACTCTGTTCGCCGGAAGAATAGGAGTATAATATTATTTTTATTTGCGAGCTTTTCTCTACCGCACTCCACCTCCCGCCATTAATTAATAATTTAATACTTAACTTTAAAAGTAATTGTCCAAAACTGGTTATCGACCAGTCAACATTATCAGAAAAAAATTTTTAGTTTGAAAAGTTAATTAAATTTATACGTTACTATTAAAGCTTTAAAAAGTTGATAGAGCTCCGGAAAACAAATATTAAAGTTTGATTATTGTCTAATATTGTAAAAGAACATAATCTAAAGTATCTCCAGTAAGAAAAATGATAAAAATGAAATCCTACTTGGTATTACACGCTGTTAAATGTACAGAGTTTCATTATACATTTGAATACATGGTTTTATTCAAATCGGTTGACAGCTGACAGATCTAAGACAATTATTTTTAATATAATAAACGCGTTCAATTTTAATGAGACAATCTTACTATTCCTACTCAGAAGTAAAATGATAAAATTCGTACCAACAAAAGTAATATTTTATTTATAAGTGTTGTTCAGGAAATAGGAATAATAAGTTAATTTTTCCCTTGCGCATTTTTTACCGTTTTCATAAGAATTGTCAAACAAAACGCACTTTAGTAAAATTACTATACTACTATCATACTTTCATTCTGGCTGTGTAGGTCTGTATAAGAATCAACATTATTGACCTCCTACTAATACTGATCCTTGAATAATAGAGTTGAGTGTAGGTTGTTGCTAATAGTGTCGATATAAAGTAGGTTAATGGTCGATATCAATTTTCGAAATGATCCTTGACCATCAAGTTTAGTTTACCGCCAGTCAATTTGTTTTAAGTTCGTCTTAACGGAAAAAGAAGGACTTCAGTTTGAAAAGGCTCTTTATTAGTTTCATTCTGCATTTTATAAATTAAACCATTTTAAGTTACAGACGATTTTGGAATTTTTTTAAACATTGTTTAAAATATTTTTTGTGTACACAGCAAAGAGAAAATCCTGTTTAATATTTAATATTTGTATTAAAGTATCATATAATATAATAATTTTTAATACACGTGACTGTGCACAATACACAAAACGAGCAGACGAGTACAACTGAATAAAAGGAATAAAATAAAATACCATCCTTTAAATTCGACATCTCCGTTACGTCAGAGATCACAGCATTACTATGGTCTTTATACTTTATATTAAAAAGAAGGAACTAAAAATAAAACATTTAGCGTAAAAGGTAGTCTGACGTCTGGTACGTTTATGCCTTAGTTTTTTAATAAACCGTCCTTTCCGCTGACAGGTGGGCCCTTCGACACATGTAAGTGCCGAATAGTAACACCCTTTGGACACTTACAAACGGTTTTTGAGCAAAGTAGTATGTTCGGAATTCATTAACATCGAACCAAGTATAAAATAATTATACACAAACAAAAATGTAAGTTCTATCAGCTCCCCTCGGGAAATAAACTGACATGGTTAAAACAAAACGGGCAATGGCCGTTCTCATCAGTATAGCCTAAAAATTATACACATGTATATTACACAAGTTAAAAGTATTCGCGAATTTAGTGAATTATTAATTAAAACAGCTCAATATAGTAATAAATAGTATTATTCTATCATAATTTAGTAAATTATGATAGAATTGTATTTAATTAAACTGTAAATATTCATCAAAGAAAAAATAATAAAATTATTAAAAAAGTGAAATTTTTGAAAATGGGCATCTGCTATTAACAATTTCACCGAATAAAGTTGAACCATATTGTATTATATTAAAGCTATGTACTTCGAAATGCACAGTAACGAGTATTCGTGCGTGGCTGATGTTAAAATTAATATTGCAAGCTTATTTCTGAAAATTGTGGGGAGCATAACACGATATTTTGACATTGATGATTAATAAGTAATGACTTTTAAGTCAGGACATTTATAAATGAACATTTTTTGTTTTTTCGCACTTTTCGCTTGATATTATTACTGTTATTCGTGACAACTATAATTTTTAGCTTTTACAAGGAACTGAGAAGGTATTGTTTTTACAATGATGTGTTTTGTGATTGTGAATGTGTCTGGACCCACGATATCTTTTAAATCGCTGAACCGATTTCTTCATATAGCAACTCTATAGATCAGAAATCATACTTAAAAGGTACTTTATTATACTAAAAATTTGAAAAGTTCCCATTTCCACTTTTAAAGTTTAGAAAAAACGCCTAAAAAATAAAAAATATTCTTCAGATATTATCAATAAACGTCAACGAACCAAAAAAATATCACAAACCCTTTTCTCAAGAAGGGGAAGAAACTTTTTATTTATTTTCCACTTTCAGGCAAAGATATAGGTCTTAAGGTTTGAAAATTAGACTGAAGGCTATAACATCTATAGTTTTTCTTAAAAATCTGCAGTCAAACCTTTTTTATTATTATTAAGGAAAAACCAAAAAAACGGGAAATTACACTTTGACAGAAATTTTCTAGGTTGCTGTTAGAGTGAATATTGATCATCAGATATCCGAAAAATATTTTCATTATGTTGTTATATTTACGATATATAACTACGGCGACAAATAATTACTATAGATCGACGATCAACCATAATCGTAGTATTTACTCTACTACTAAAAATTGTAATACTGTTTTTGTTTTTGATTCTGGGGGGAAATTATCCCCCCTCCCTCTAGTTAGCATGTATAAAGCGCTTCGCCATAACTCCTTATTGTAATATACCCTTACACGGTTCATTTGAAATACAATTTTATCCAAAACACTTTGGCAAAGTTTCTTTGTCTTCTTTAAAATTTAGTACAGAACTCAGTATATATATATATATAAACATAGCATATTTAAAAAGGTAACGTGTTTTTATTCGTACTACAACATCTCTTATACCAGTTGAAATTTTATAATCTTACATTACATTCGAATATGTATTTCAAATATAAGCATCAAACATAAGAACATCTCCAATGGCTACAATGTCTAATGTGGCTAACATGATCGAATTTACATTTTTGTCTAACCTGATCTTTTTTGCGTGTTCAATCTTGTCCCGGCGTTTGAGACCCAATACAGTGCATGTATTTAGTTACCTATGGCCTAACCTAGACTCTAGGTAATCAGTTATCGACGGTTATTAGTAGTAGTAATTTCGATCTATTACCTTGGTCTTAAGTGGATTTGGTTTCACTTCTTGGATTATATTATTTCATTATTTTGCGTCATCGGATGACATATAATATAACTATGTTAAACTTTACACATTGCACGCGGTGAATGGTTGCTTTTAGCTCGATCTTGAATAATGAATGTGTTACAGTGATATCGTGTGCCATGAATACAATGTAATCTTTCACTGATATTTTATAGATAGGCATATTATACTCACTTGACAAGAACTTAATGTAGTGAAAATATCAGCCGAGTTGACTGTGAACGGCCACCATCTGCTTACGTTCTCCTATTGTGTGTCGATCCTGACTCTTTTGAATAAAAACTGTGAAATTTGAACACGTAATATAATATAAAAATATAAACTCATTGTCAGTAATGAAATTAATCTTTAACGCTCACCGCGGTTCTGTATTTGGAATTGTACAAAGTCTATTTAAAGAGGATGCTACACATCCGTAATTTATCCGTACAAAATGCTTTTGCGGGGGAAAAGTATGCGAGGGCGGTATTTAAAGTAATCATGTAAAGTTTTACAATGTATAGAGAACTTTATCCACGCCGTAGAGTTTTTAGTTTTTTGATAACTTAAATACAATCAAAATTATTCATTCGTTAAGAGTCATTTGTTTTCCTTTTTTCAATTTGTTTAAAAAAAAAATTAGTTTTGATATTATAAAAAAAATAATACTGTGCAGTATTATTAACTCTAATACTCATGTACTACTTGTCCCGCGCAAAGCAGGTTTGATAAGAAAAAAATTGTAATACATCCTATAAAAATTACTGTGATGGTCTTACACTCTAACTCAAGCTCTAAAAATATTTTGCTTCGGTCCGAGATAAAATAATAATAATTCAAATCGATTAAAAAGCACCGGTTTTCACGCCAAATTAAATTGTTGATTGAACATTATTAACATAACACGATGTGATATTTTTTTTCAGAGTTACATATTCCACGTAGAAAGACATCCTAAGTTTAGTTATTTTGTACAGTGTGTTACTTTTAACGCTTATCCGTCTGAACTACACGAACTGGCGTATTTATACTTTGGAATGTTCATGATGTATTGGTTGCCATTAATAGTTATACTGTTTTGTTATGCATCTATTATCATCGAGATTTACAGAAGATCCAGAGAGTCCATATGTGGTATGTATACTATACTATGGGTATTATATTATAATAATTATACAAAATAGTTCAATTATTGAACTATTTTGTAACCTATGGTATATAATAAATTAAAAATTCTCTGATTTTTAATTGTATTGTAATTTTTACACATTAAGAATTCAGATAATTAATATTTTTGTGCGTCTATTCTTGTACAGTTAAATTTTGATTCTCTGTTTTGTTTAGTATCAAAAAAATATCACAAAATATTACTATTAACAAATTCAACTATTTCAAGTACATTTTTCCCAGATTTAGTATAAATCACATTTATTATAAATTTGATTTCACGCAGAATGTTTTACACAACTGTATGTTTGTTATAAGGTTAGATTAGGTCACTCATTATTATAAAATCACACCCCTTTAAGGTGAAAATATTGCTTTAAAATATAAATACAAAAATGTTTTAATTTACAAAAATTAAATAAATTTCATTATGATTTTATAACCAGACTTTAGATTTCTAAAAATGACTATATTACCTCTTGTGCTTTAAAAATAATTTAGAATTCACAAAACAAAATACATTCAACGAGATAATTTTAGAAAACGTTTTATTGGTGTAGGTACCACGTAGATAATAAATTGTTAAAAATTTAAAAAAGTATGATATTTATTATAATGGCATATCGTTTTATAATGTTATGTTGTTAACTAGTATATTATTGAAAAAATAATTAATTGCAAATAAGAAGTGATTTTTTTCATTTATTATTCCAATTCTCTACAGTAATTAGTAATATATATATATATATATATATATATATATTATATTATAATTATTATATGTTTATTTTGTAATTACGATGTCATTCGTTTTTGGTTAGGTATGGTTATTAAAACAAGTTAATAAATTTTAATGATGGGATTTCCATAAAATATATTTGTCTTAGAGGACCGGTATTCATATCAAAGTTTCCGATCGCCCTTATTACTTACATTTTTACCTACATAGTTATATGTATCATATAACTGTGTACTAAACATATAAAATCGTTTTAATATTTCATTTGCACTTTTTCCGGTGTTTAGGTACGGAAAACGTACGAAGATTGGGATTTTTGGGACGGGCCAAAAGTAGAACATTAAAAATGACAATCATTATCGTATTGGCGTTTGTTGTTTGCTGGACGCCTTACTATATCATGGCAATTTGGTAAGTTTTATTTGTTTTTTATTACATAATTTAGTACCAGTTAATTATAGACATTAAAGAGTGCAATGTGCAATAGATTTAGAGCCGCCAAAAATTCCTAACCTAAAGACACTCAGCTGGTTTTTTCTGTTAAAGTCCAGCAAATATTTGGTATTTACACAAAATTATGCCATATCCTTAGATTGCGAGATCTCGTGCTATACAGAATGAGCGAGGAAGACATAAGTAATACATGAGAGCACACTAAACATTACACATCATCTCACAGGCTCAGTGTTGGTAAATCACTCTGTATATATTTACTAAACGCTGAAACATCATATTTTAGGTTGGACACATTTATTTTTCCACGCTAAATTATTTCAAAAGGCAGTTGTCACCTACATTTCTTTTTTCCGCCACGATTTGTCACTGTAATACGTTTCGTTCGTACAGTGTACGAAATTCATACTTATATAGCAAGATTAAGTATTCAGCAAGTATACATAAATGTCATAAGATATTACCGAACATATGTTATAATCATATAACAGCAGTCCATTAATTTAAAAAAAACACACACACACGCCAAGGCTGTGGTTATAGATTCAACATAAAGTATTTTCAACGGTGTTAACATTTTTTTGAGTGATAGCTACTGTTGTTATAGGCGAATTGTTTGTTTATTGGGTGTAATTTGTGTATTAATTATTAATAATTTATTCTTTGTTCATTATAAATTCAATGATATGTGAGCATTACCTATATCTTAGTATTTTTTAGTTCAATAATTATACATAACAATAGCATAACTGTTCATAAATTATATCAAATGATAAAAATGAATGTGACCTAAAAAAAAAAAACAATTATTAAATTATTTTTCCGACTATTCGTGAATAATTAAATAACTATCCAATATTAATCGAAAATAAAATTATTTAAATACATTTGTACTTAATATTTATTGTGAGTAAATAATTATATTTTATTGTAAATGAACGAACACGAGTTTGTTTTTAATTTTTCATCATAAAATAATTGTATATTATTTTATTCGGTATTTTTACTTCAATAGTAAGTTTAAATGTATGCTATAACCTTTATGCTATTGACTATAGCACAGTTATGCATTATTTTATAACTTATTTTTATCATATTTTTAATTGATTTCCTGTAAGGTATAAAACATATGACAGTCAATGTTGAATAATGGCAACTTGAGCGTCTCAGTTATATCACAGACTAGATAAAATTATTATCTAATCTGTGTTTATATCAATCAAATTAAACATAAAAGTTAAGCAATTTTCCCCTATAAAAGAACTTGAATCAATACATAATTTGTTCTTATGTAGTTCGGTAGAAAACATCTCAAAGGTAAAAAAACTCCGTCTTTGATTATGCTATTTTATGTGAGTTGGGCCGTTGATTTAATAGATAATACAACAGGTTTTTTTAAAAAAAATTACCTCATTGATTTACAAATCTAGACACTCAGTTATTGTATGTAATGCATGACGGACTACGTTAGTCAGAACCTTGCAAAAATTAAACATAAGTGTCTACAACAAATGCAAAAAGAAAACACATCCATGTAAAATCAATAATTACATTCTCAACTCCACACAATAGATAAAGCGCAAAAGATAAAACATTTGTATTTAGGACAATAATACCTTTATGTACATTAAAATAAATACCAATTTTAACAAACGATCCGTAATCGTCGGCGTACAGGATTACAATAATGTTACATTTTGTGAACTGTACACACATATTAATATGTATGTTTGCAATATATTGTTGATTAAATATTTGAAAATTGATAAAAGTATTTTATTTCGATCCTGTTTGTCACTAATCCATGTGATAATAAATTTAGTATTTGCTGTACGTTATCATCGTACAACAAACAATAAATTATTAAAATACGACCAAAGAATTAATAGCAGAGACAGCTGGTCTTGTCGCGTTGATCAACATTTTTTTTCAAGAAAATAACATATTTTTTGGAGGAAAACTCCTATTCTAGTTCTCATTTAAATAACGACAATTCAAAACTGCGTCCGAATTTGATGTTTATCGCTAAACACTTTTTCACGTCCAATTCTGATTTTTTATTAAAATAAATTTAATTTTTAATTTATGAGGTACGCTATGTACATTTATGTAAGCCTGCCATATGGTGTAAAATACGCAAGCTGCTATGCTTCTCGCACTACTTTCCAATTGGTTTTTAATTAAACATTGTAATTTGTACCCATTTTAATTTCCAAACATTCCACAGTTTTTAGTGATTTTCGGAATACGTTTTCGCGTGACCGTAAGAAAAATGGATTTTTATTATATAGGAGAACAATATGGGATTATAGTCTAAATCTATTACTGCCTCGAGACAAAACTCCTTTTCACAAATAAGAATACATAGACTTACATCATTACTGGTTAAGCACATTAAAAACGTTTGCCATTTCAACGCACATACGTCAAGCTCGTCTTTAGGTGTTAGAATTTTGGCATTATTTGAATAATTTTTTATTAAATAAAACTGTTACTAATATTATTCGAATAAAACTTTTCATTTTCGTTTTAGTTAATATATTTGTTTCGGGGAATTTTTGTTATTCAATTAAATTTAGTATAACTAGTTCAAGATGGACCAATAGAACTTTTTGAGAAATACAGTTTCACAGTGAAATTGAAAATGTTTTTTAAAAGATAGCTGAATGGTGGAGATAACTTAGTGACCTAAGTATCGTTTATTTAAAGCAATTCAAATTCTGAATTGAATGCGGAGTTCAAAACTGAGAAGCAATATTATATTTTCTAAACAAGATGGGGTTTTAGAGAGGTTATTTGGGGGTTTGGAAACACATAATTTGATTTATTAGCTATCGAGTACAAGTATATCTGAAAAATAATTGGTTAAATAAATTAATAAATGGTATTTTAAGTTGGCTTTGTTGTGTCTTTGAAGCAAACCGATGATAATTGCCATATTCTACGATTGGCTACTAGGTTAGATTAGTGAACTGTTTTTTAAAATTATAAGATAAGTATACTCGACTACTAGCATTTGATTGTGTCGGCCACGTTTAATTTATGTGACTATTGTGATTTATGATGTGGTTCAAGCGTTCATACCTTGGATGTAGGGTAGTAGATCCATGCTTAGTTGGACTGTTGTTGACGGGTCGACATGAACAAATGATATTACTTTATTTTTGATAACTTATTGTAGAAGTCAAAAAAATATACGCAAAATCTAGAATTTGGAAAGCTGATCTTAAGTGCGTTTAATGAAAAAATGTATGTTGGAAGTGAAATCGGATCACTGAGGTTCAAATGATATTATTATTACTGTGATATGATACATGTTGTTTGACATAGATGAGCTACTGAAAGTGATATACAACGTTGTTTGGTAAAATATAGCTGAAGTGAGTTGGTGTCAGCAGTCAGATAAGTCATTGACGATAGTAAAAACAAATTGAATGTCTTCGATGAACTTCCATTTCTACTGCGATAGCTAACATAGTATATTATACTGTTATTTAATAATGAGTTCAAACCTGAATTAAACGAATGAAATACCCAAATATCGAATTGTGAAATAACAGCATTAAATGATCAAATATTATTAATTTAAAGCCATCCATTGACCGAATGCATTCGCTCGAACTTTAAACTTCCGCACTGCATGACTATTTTTAGAACAGCTAACGAACACCTTTAAAAAAATACTGACTAATAACTAGGAATTTGATGAATTTACAATTAAAATAGCTATATAAGATACTAGGTCAATATTCATCGAGATATAAAGTTATTTAATGTTATATTAGTATTGAAATGTATATTATTTTTGCACAGAAAGTATGCGTGAAGTGTATGATGTAATTACTTATGGCATGCGAATAGCCGGTGGACTTTTGCGAGTTAGCAGATTAGTTTCATAATCTCATCAGTGTTATTATTGTAGGCATTGGAATGTGGAAAAAATATTGTTTGGAAATTTCCTTATAGTATTTTAGAACAAACGTTGTCAATTTATTATACAAGAAACATTATGAACACGCAAAAAAAAAAAAGTTTAAAAATTTGGTATTTAAAATTGTGTATTATAGAATTGAAGTAAGAAGTTATGTTATAAAACAAAAATACTACTAATTAGGCATATAGCGTTAGGTTATTATAACTGATGTATATTTTTTTTCCTCAACTTTTTTTAGCAAAAAGTAACTATTAAAATAAGTTTGAGTACGGAGCTTGAGAAAAAGCTTGTGACATAATATGCAGTTTTGTGAAAAACAAGCATTCTGTTGACATCTCTTAACATAATATTTATAATTTAAAGATGATGTTGGAATCGATAGAAATATAGTACAATGCCTTCTCGAGGAGCTTTGTGTTTTACGATGCCTTTTTTTTGGTTCACACAAAGTTAATTATTTTTAAATATTTATAATAAGGGTTTTGCACGAGATGAAATGTTTATAAAATAACATTAACCGTAATATTGTTGAAATATTCTTTAAAATATAAATAAAATATAATTAACAATATTTTCGTAATACTTAAACAAACATTTTATTTCTTACCAATACATGAGTTATATAATTTGTTGATAATATTTTGACAACATATTTTTGCGGTAAGGCCTAAGGGTATATACCGAACGCTTTAAAAAGTAGTATGTGTGCCATCCTCTTAGTCAATGTAAATTACGTATAAGGCTTAGTAGATGTAAGCATAATAAAGTAATCCGCATAATTATTATTGGCTATAATTTATCATGTACAAAACATAATATAATTTAAGAGGATAAAACGATACATCATACATTTAATAACCGATTCAACCGACATTGTTAGTTTTAAACGGTTGTATTTTCTAGGGACTAGCATCATCAACCCGTTTTAATTATTTGTATAATATATTATACTAGTATATTGCACAATGTTTTTTATAGGATCAAACTTGTATAATTTTTTTTATTCACCATACAACGCCTGGTA